TGATGCAAAGATTGGATCCAGCAGTTTCCTTCATTCAGAGAAAATAAGACTTAAAGAGGTTTAAAATAAAACAGATGTGAGCAACCAGTTGACTTTTAAATTAATTGTTTTAATGCATTAGTCTAAAATGAATGATTTTCTCTAAATCCAGCTTTGGCTGCATGAAAGCTTAGTTTATTAACTTTTTAGCTTGATGCAAAGATGCATAAAGTAGTAAAGTAGATAGTTAGTTTCCGTGTCTTTAGGTATCTGAGCTGGTTTCTAAAAGCTGGTTCTAGATCTATAGATCTATGTTTAAAGACAAATATATTAACCAACATAGTTTCACAACCAGCAGAACTTTAGGAAGAACGGTCAAACCTGTTTTTTCCTCGCAGGAATATTAATTTTTCTTTTCTTTTGTCGTTGGTAAGAAGTATTTATCTATGTAATCCAGGTAAACAAAGGAGATCGATGGTAATTCACTCAATTGGCTCTTTGTCTTTGCAAAGATTAGAGACAGGACAATAATAACGCAGCTGCTCGATGCTCTGCTCTGTTCTCATCTAGACAAAGTTTCTTCCATTGAGTTAAAACATGAAGAAAACCTGTGAAGGTTTCCACATGCAGTTAATCTAAACAGTAGACAATAAGAGAAAAGAGTAAAATGTTGAATCATTCATGGGAAAGAGTCCCACCTGTGAGGGGAACAATTGTGTTCTGAATAATCCCTAAAAAAAAACAAAAAACAAACAAAAAAAATGACTCCTCTCACCCAGACACTGTATACCCTTGCAGCTTTGAGGCCGGAGTGAAAAATGTTAAAGTATATAAAATATAATGAACGGATTGTACATGAAATGGATTTTTCTGACTCCACTTTTGGAGAAATATTTATACAATATTTCCACCAACATTTCATCTGATTTTATGGGAACAACACAAGGTGACTAACTTTGAAGTAAGAGAAAAATTAAAAAAAAAGCTCCAGATTTCCTCAGGTTGGACGAAGGACATCTAGAAACATTAAAACTTCAGGTTTTAGTGGCCTTTGACTAGGCCATTCTAGCACATCACTATCCTTTAATCCTTGAACCCCAGTGGGCCTCAGCAGATGGCCGCTCACACTGAGCCTGGTTCTGCTGGAGGTTCCTTCCTGTTAAAAGGGAGTTTTTCCTCTCCACTGTCGCTACAAGCATGCTTAGTGTGAGGGATTGCATTTGAGTCAATGAGTCGATGCAATTAACTGGTTTTCCTTGGATAGAAAACTTCTGGTTCTGGTTGAACTGTAAAGTGCCTTGAGATGACATCTGTTGTGAATTTGGCGCTATAGAAATAAACTGAATTAAATTGAATTAATCTAAACCGTTCCATGTAGCTCTGCCTGTATGTTCTGGGTTGATGGTTGGATAGACGGTGATCATCAGGCTCCATCCTGCAGCTACTCAGCTTTTCTTCCAGGATATTTCCCTCCGATTCTAACCAGCCTCTCTGTTCCTTCTGATGACGAAATGTCACCAAAATGTCTTCCTGTTGGGATGATGCGTTCAAGAACTGCCCTGCGTTCAGCCCTTTACAAGGGAAGCAGTACGGCCCACTGCTAACAGCGTCTAATGACTTTAATTCAACGATAGCTTTTGCTTCTTCCAATCGTTGGAATATATAGAAAGGAAGAAGATCCAAACTGAGCCGTGGATCTTTGGCTCTTTGCTGCTTCTCTGATGTCTCTACCAAACCTCTGAGGCCAGAAGCAGAAAAGCTGCACTAAATGAAAAACATCTGGATTTTATATGGTAATTAGGCGACATCTAGAGTTAGATGTTTGGTCTGTTTTGACTTTAGGGCTATCAGAGTTTAGGGTTTTTGTTATAAATTAGCCAGATTTCCTTCTTCCTGTTGGTCACATAAAGCGCTTCATAGCTTCAGGTAGTAAAGAGAAAAAGTTTGAAGCTCTAAAAGGTGTTTATCTTTTCGAAATGCTTCTCTGTAGATGATGATGACGATAACGAGGATGAAAACGATAACGAGGCGGATGAAGCCTACGATGATGGCGACAACAAGGAGGACCAGACGTACGATCAGTCAGAAAGCGTCCCTGAAGCTGATGGAGAAGACCTGAAGGATGAAGGTGATCCTGACTCCGATGAGACCCAGATCTCCCCCATGACCGACATCCCCTCCCCAAGAGACAGCCCCAGCCAATCGGAGGCCATGCAGACCAACGAGCCGCAGCCGTCGACCAATGGGAGCCCAGCAGCTTCGCAGCAGTCTGTCACCTCCTCCAGTCAGCTGTCCGTTGTTCTTGTAAAGGTCAAAGAAAAAGCTACGGAGGTCATCCCATCGGCTTCCACCAATGGGAATCCTTCCCCAGAGCAGAAAACCGTCACAGTGGGACAGAGTGACACCCAGACCACCAACGGGACGTCCCCGCCCCCCAGCCCCAGGACCACCAGGAGCCAGAAGAGGAAGAGGGAGGAAACGAGGTCAACGAACTCTAGAAATATAAAACAGAAGATCAGTTTTGACAGGTAGACGTTTGAGCTCATCTAAAGCTCCTCAACCCGACGAGAACTAAACATAATCTGTCAGATTTACTCTAACATGATTTTAACTTGGAATGTTTTCTTCTTTCATTCCTTATCATTTCCTGTTTCCTCTTCATCATCCTCAGCAGCGACGCAGACATCTCTCTGGACATGGGCGTCATTTGCTGCAGTTCTCCAGAAAAAATGGAATCGTCCGTCTTTGAAACGCCGACCAAGAACCCCATCATCAGCTTAGAGTCCACGCCGCCTCCTAAGAAGAACAAGGTGCAGAAATAGAGCTGCTAGAATGAGCTTTTTGATTAGACAACAGGAAACAAAGCAGCACACTGCAAAAACGATCTCAAAATGAGTAAAAATGTCTTAAATTAAGTGTATTTTCCCTTAATTTGAGCAGGTAAATACCGTAAGATAGTTTGCCAATGGAATTAGTATTTTTACTCTTAAAATAAGATAATTAGATAAAATGCACTTGAAATAAGACAATGCAATTGTTTTTTCTTGTTTAAAGTGTAAATTGTCTTGTTCCATTGGCAAAGTGTCTCACTTCAATCCTTAATTCAAGAAAAAATGCACTCATTTTAAGAAAAAATGACTTATTTAGGTTCACAAGTTTAAATGTGATTCATTTCCATGTGAACCCAGCGATTAACTGAAGGTTCAGATCAGGAAGCAGCCGTACAGAAACAGCCCCACCAATCAGGCAGCCGGTTCTAAAATGAACTATAGAGCTGTTCGTTTATGAGGCGAGAACCAAAACAGCCTTTTATTATTATCACTTGATAAACTCCTCAGATCCTTTGCCTGAATTAAACAGACCCAGATAGATGCTAATAGGAGGAGCGTTTCCTGTGGGTTTGGTTGTGGTTCAGACGCAGAATCTACTTCCTGTTTTAACTCGTTCTCCCTTCCAGTAAATGGACGGAACAATCTAACATGCTTTAAGACAAGTTCTTCTTTGCTCTGAATTATTAATTTGTGTGATTGTGTGTAAATTAAACCAAAATTAAACAAAAGCATTTTAAAATTTACAATTTAACAAAAATAAACAGTTAATTTGAACCAGAATAAAAATTGAAAGAGTAGCCGTCCCTCCTCTGGTTATTTTTGTCAGTTTCACAGCCGCCATGTTTGTTGTTGCTCTTTAGTTTCTGTTGCTAGAACCTCATAGAGGCCAGTTTATCGACCCAGACTGTCGACTGCTTCTGTTTCTGCTGATAAACAGCTGCTGAGTCACTGAAGGAGGCACTAAATGCCAGCAGACTGATTTACCCTGATCAGACTTTACAGAAACATGTTTGAAGATCATTTATATTTAGGATTCATTATTTCTAAAAATGTAAACTGATCAACTTTAAATTATTATAATCTCATTAAGAAGTGATGCGTTAGTGAGCCCGCCTCTTTAGGCCTCTTATTTATCTGCTCCCTTTTTTTTTTTTACATTTCTAAATCTTTTTCCATTTTCCCAAATTCAAACCTGCTGACATTCAGAGGTTTTCTCATCGCTGTTATGATGCAGAATAAAAAGTATAAAAAGTCAGAAAGCTGCCCATAATGTTTACTGGGAGTT